ATTTCTTCAATTTCACTTTAGTCCCTAATTTCAGTTTTATTTTAAAATCGATATCCTCATCCTGATATTTTCCATTATTATTTTTTAATACTAGCATTTGTGTTTATTTTCTTTCAGTTCCTCCTATAACTCCTGTGTATTTACATGTTTGTCCCTTGTTTTATATTTTATATTTTTAATTCAAAACCCTTGTCCTTATTTTGCTATTTCCCTTTTCTGTTTTATTACTTGACTATAATAAACTTATGGGTTATTCATGTTTTACTCCCTTAACTTTAGTCTTGTTTTTATATTTTAATCACTAGTCTTCGCTTTTATTTCTTTTAATGTTGTTTCTTTGTTTATGTTATTTTCAATCTGGTCACCGCTATGGGTATTTAAGTTTTATTTAGATTAGATCCCTATATTGTTATTTGTTATATTTAGTCCCTAGATTATTTTATTAATTATCCTTAAATTTAATTAGGTTATTAGATTTTTGCTTCTTAATTATTAATATTTTTATTAGATTTGTATTACCATTTTTTATTTTAGTCAAATGCATATTTTGTTTTATTTTATTTCAATTACTTTTAATGTATTTTTTAGCTTAGTATTTCCCTAAATTAGTAATTTTAGGATAATCCTTTAGTTTTAATTCTCTTCAATTTAGTCCTTAATTTAAACCTTAGATTTAAACTTTTCACATTTAGTCTTTAAATTTAGGGAATAATTAAATTTGGACTTTCACATTAAGATGCTCAAGTTCAAATTGATTATTCGATTCCATAATTGGTTAATTAATTAGGTTAATAATTAATGCCTCTTCTTTTAGATTCTTTGCAATTTAGTCCTTAATCTTTTAATTAGATATACTTTTAACATAATCAATTAAGTTAATAATTAGAACCTCCACTTTAGGTCTAATTTTACTTTAGTCCTTTAATTTAAGGAATAATTCGATTTGGACTTTCGTATTAAGATGCCCGATTGCTCAAGTCGATTATTCGATCAATGATGAGTTAAAATCAATTAGGGTTAATATTAGAGACTTCATGTTTAGGTCTAGGCCTTTAGGTTCTCTAAATTTCATAATTTGACACTTTAAGTTAGGAAAACCTTATTAACCCACCTAGCATAACTAGGTCTTTAATAGGTGTTCTGATTACACTTCGATTTCAAAAACAAGGCACGGTTCATTTATCAAGGAGTTAATTGTGTATCCTCCACGTTATGCTCTGGGGGTGACCATTGGTAATTCCCAAAGTAAATCAATATCCTTTTTGAAAACTACATGTCATGATTTCTTAATCTTTAAGGCAATGTTCATTTGTTAGGGTCAATAATTGAGTTTTCACATAAATGCTTGAAGGAGAATATTATTGATCTTAATAAATTAATATCTTTTTCAAACTTGTATCCATAATGATTTTTAAATTAAATAAAATCTTGAATTCAAAATTTCCAATTTTCAAATATAGGGTAATAGACTAGGTACCAATTTTTTGGCGCTGTGGGATGCTAACCCTTCCCCATGTGTAACAGACTCTCGAACTTGTTTTTTGGTTTTCGCAGACCCAAATTTTTTTATTTTGATAAAATAAAATGTTTTATTTAAATTATTCGATTTTTGGTGTTCCAATCGCATCTTAAAAATAATTGGTGGCGACTCCAAAAATTTCATTTCAAAAAACCTCATCGTTGCAACTAGTCAGCTTTTTCCCCGAAGGGTTGGTTGCGACAAAACATTTAGATTTTATTGAATTTATTCCTCCAAAACATTCGCTACAACATGCACCTACCTTAGAACTTTTGCCATCACATCTTAAATATGTTTATTTGGTTAGTAATGAAACATTGCATGTGATTATCTCTTTCAGTATTAAACCTAAGCAAGAACGTAGCTTGATTAATATGTTGGCATAAGATAAGAAAGCTTTAGGTTGGACTATGGCTGATTTGAAGGGTATAAGCCCTACTATTTGCATGCACAAAATTTTGCTTGATGAATGCCACAACTAAGTCTATTGAACCCCAAAGAATGCTCAACCTTGTTATGAATAAAGTGGTGATGAAGAAGTTATTAAGTGTCTTGATGCTGGAGTAATCTACCTAATATCCAACAGTTCATGGGTCAACCTGGTGTAATTTGTCTCCAAGAAAAGAGGCGTGACCGTAGTGAGCAGTAAAGACAATGAGTTCCTACCCACAAGAGCTGTCACTAGATGAAGGATTTTTATGAACTATTACAAGCTCAATAAGGCAACCACTCTATTAGGATAAATAAATATTCCGCCTTTCCACCTGTATTATTGGGCTCATTTTGTCGAAGTAGGTTCGGGTCATATCCCAGGCTCAATTTGTCGAAGTAGATTCCGATTTGTCAGATCCCGAACGAGAAAGAAACGGGAATGTTCCCGCTTTTGGAGTGGAAAGGTGTCATATTGTTTGATGCTGGGACGACATATGCAGAGCAGATCGGCAGAGTGAGACTTGAGAGAAGCGTCTTCAATATGCTTCAAATTATTATTTAGCTTGAACCAAAATAATCATTAATTATATGTGATAGGGGTTTTCTATTAAGTTATTAATTTATCCGCATACATTATCTAGTATTTATACAAACATATAATGTGCTTCAAATTTCCACATTCAAGAAGTGGGTTATACAAAATTCATATAACTATCAACTTAATTTTCTCCATCTTCTCTATATCTTGTACTTTGATCAAAGAATCCACCTATCGGAACCGTCTTTCGGTTGGGCCCCGAATTTGGACTTCGACTTAGGAAAAATGAATTTGAGTCGCCACCGATCATTTATTTTAAAACAAATGGGTTGATCGGATACCCTATTTCTTACCTGATCTGCGTCTTTCCAAAGATGTATCGGATTCGGGAGTCGATTACAATCAAGGAAGGAGTAGCACCCTTGAACTGCCCTTTCGGTACTACGCAATTTCCAGTTATCTTTAATTAAGAGAATTGAAAGTTAAACTTAAAAGGTAAAAATAACGACCCAAATTGCTTACATCCAATAGTTTTGGAAACATGCCCTTAAAGAATAAAAAATGTTACATAAAATATGAAAATAATAATGAAAGTAATAAACAAATGACATAAAGAAAAAAAATAAAAAAAAATAAAAAAAAAATAAAAAAAATGAATAAAACAGATATAAGGGAGATAAAAAGATAAAAGTAAAGAATAAATAAAAAGGAAGAAAGATAAATAAATAAATAAATAAAATATAAAAAGAGTAGAAATATGTAGAAAAAAAGAAGTAAAAATAGAAAAATAATAATAATAACAATAAATAAAGAAAAGTAGTAATATAATATAAATAAATAGAAAACTAAAAATAAAGAAATATAAAAAATAAAATAGAAAATATAGTTAAATATGTACATATAATAATGATAGTAATAAAATATAAATGATAATAAAACGTGATATGCATAAAAAAAAGAAAATAAGTAAATAAAAACTAAAATTTAAAACATGAATTGAATCAGGGCTAAATCAAAAGAAAGTCAAAATCAGACACCAATTCAAACACAAATTCGGGATCAAAATAAGCATATAGGGAGTACGAGGGGGCAAACTACGATTTTCCCATTTTTCACGTGAAAGCACGCGGATCTACCGTGTAGGGTCGGGTCGGACGGGGCTCATGCGGGTTGGGAATAAAGCTTAATCCTCATAAACAAGTTTTCATTTTTTACATTTGATCCAAAGTGGATCAAAACACGAAACCCACTTTTCTCTCAAATGTTCTTGAGAGTTCATGTGTTCTTCAAGAACACGATGAACACCGCCGGGTTTTCCAGAATCCGGCCACCACGCCGTCTCACCAGTCGCCGTTCATCGGCGGCGAAACTCGAAAAATGTTTGATTTTTTAAAATCTCTTTATTCCCTCAGTTTAAATATGTGTTTTGTTTTCGCAAAAAAACCTCTGGGGAGCGTAGATATGAAATTAAAATTTCGAAAACTCACTTTTGATCATTAGCTCAAAACTTTTTTGTTTTTTGATCATTAGCTCAAAACTTTTTTGTTTGGTTTCTTTTCGAATCAAAGGGCAAAGAAGACTACATGCAAACAACTGAAAGACAAATAGGTAAAAAAGTATACTTTTTCTCTTTATTTAACTTCGAGAAATTACAAGGCTTGTTTTTCGATTTTGCTCGTAATATTTGTGTGTTTTTCTTACTATTTTTTTCGTGTAATTTCTAACTCAAAAAACGTTTGATTTTTTAAAAACTCTTCATTCCCTCAGTTTAAATATGTGTTTTGTTTTTGCAAAAAAGCCTCTGGGAGCATAGATATGAAATTAAAATTTCGAAAACTCACTTTTGATCATTAGCTCAAAATGTTTTTTGTTTGGTTTCTTTTCGAATCAAGGGCAAAGAAGACTACATGCAAGCAACTGAAAGACAAATAGGTAAAAAGTATACATTCTCTTTATTTAACTTCGAGAAATTACAAGGCTTATTTTCCAATTTTGCTCGTAATATTTGTGTGTTTTTCTCACTATTTTTTGTGTGTAATTTCTTCTCCTCCCATATTGGGTGATTACATCGAATATTTATAGCCTAGGATTTTAGTATTTGATTCTAACTCGGTGATGTTTGTTGGTATTGGAGTCCCATGCTTCCACGTTTCTTGGTGGCCGAGAAATTCGGGCTCGTTGCATGAGAGGCAGCGTGCCAAGTGAGGACTGTGGCGGCTGGGGTGCTGATGACCATGCGACGCTAGAGTGTGTGAAGCTAGGGTTTCCAAAACCCTAGCTGGACCAGTTCTATTTGGGCCGTGTGGTTTGGGTTTCTGATGGGTTTTGTAACAGACTGATGGATATCATTTGGGTCTGTACATAAGCAAAATAAATTGTAAATATATATATCATATAACATAATTTATAATATATATATATATATATATATATATATATTAATTGAGGTGGATGAAATTAAGTGTCTTCACCACCCAAGGAAATAAGCAGCTGAAGCAGCGACAGCGCCGTTCAAAAGGACCACACCCACCAACACTGCTTAGCTTTTGCCACCAATCTTATACCAAGAGAGGTAAGCGCAATGGAGGACATGAAGCTAGCTCCAACAAACATAACCCACTCATTGTTCGTAAATGGCTTGATGAAAGACGAGAGAGGTGCAGAGCCGAAACCCACAAATGCCACGAACGTTACGACACCGTTCTTCCACGGCGTCTGCTCTACTTGGTCAGGCGACATCACCCCTTTCTCCGCCGTCATCTTTTGGTCTCTCATAATGTCGTTATACTTGGCGAATATCTACACCACCTTGCATATATAATTAACATTTTGAGGCGCCATTGGTGAAAATACAAAGAAACTTGGTGAATCATGACTGGTTTACCGTTTTAGCGTCGTTGACGTTCATGCCAAGGTTTTGATACTGCTGAAGGAGCTGTTGTTGTTTTCCATGATTATTTAGTTCCCCCACTCGGTCACTGCCATTTCCTTGACAGCTAAGTCTTTCTTTGTGGCAGTAGACAAAATGTCGCCAAGGCTTGATGATATTCCATCTGCAACCAGGTTCGCAATGCCAAACACCAATACGTCCACGGCAAATAACTATTAGAAACGTATAAAACAAAGATATTTCATGGTATTTGACACCATCAGTTTCACTCACCTGATGAGAATCGGCTAGCAGATACATAAGAAATGAGAGAGAAGCAAGTGAAAATGGCCTCCATGCCTGCATATACGATGCTCTTATCAACCTCTCCATTCCAAACATCGTTTGGTCTTCCTTTTTTATCTCTAACCTCGTATTCTTCAAGCACTGTACTGTTGGTGTCCACTGTTATTTCACTCATTTTTACTGTTTTCTCTCTTCACCCTAATTTACCTTTCAAGATATTTTCACAGTTTTCATCCCATTCTTTGTAAGAACAAAATGGTTTAACTTTTATTCTTGGATAGATAAAATTGAGCAAACTATACGTGTCCTCGTGCATGTAACCCCACGACATGTGGCTAATGACAAGCCTTTCATAATCGAAAGTTCCTAATAAGGAAAAGGAAAAGTTATGTATGTATGTAGGTATAGGTATCCATTATAATTTCTAGCTTTCATTGCATTTAATGTACTCAAAACAAACATATTATTAACTGCAATTGATCAACAACGGTAACAAATAGAGTATAAAGTTTAGACCGTGGGGTTTTTCTCCTCTTTAATTTCACCAGTAGAAGAGATTCCGGTTTTTTCATTTGAAGATGAACAGGATGAAGTCGAGACTCTTTTGTAAACTGGTTTGATACCAAGTGGCAAGAGTTTCAAGGTGATCCCCATAGCTATAAGTAGAAGCCCGTCCCATGTTGCTCGGTCAATGGCTGGTAAATATCATGTATGAGAGTAATAAAGTCATTGCCTTTCTTGCAGTTGTCACCTGTATATAGGGATGGCAAACGGGCGGGTCGGGTGCGGATACCCTCTCCCCATTCCCATACCCACCTAATATTTTTTAATCTACCACCTACCCACCACCCATGGTGGGTACAAATTTTCAAATCCACACCTGCCCACGCGAGTACATTTTCAAATCCATCCCCACACCCACTACCCACTAGCGACATACCTATCTAAACCCGCCTGATAGTAAACTAATGGGATGTTGGAGTTAGTTCCCAGACAGTTCGTGATGGGGTAGCAGCGCATGTTTCAATTTGTCAGAGGAGTAGCTCTATGAATGTTATGGAAACAGATTGTAGGGAGCATGTAGTCGCAGAGTTGGATTGTTGTGTTGCTTTCGATGTTAATACTCATAGTACGCTTAATATGGGTTTTGAGGAGGAAACTGTTGTTTTTGATGTTAATGTTTATAGTACAACTAATTTGTGTTTGGATGGGTAACATGGGCTAAAGAACATGTAAAATGACGTGGTTAGTGAGATTATGGGTTTAATCAAAGAGCTGAATATTTTCCTAATTAAATACCAGATTAAAGACTAAATATCCTTAATATTTGAATAAATTATATTTTATATATTATACAATATTAAAATTTATAAATTAGTCTATAAAATTACACCTAAATTCATAATGGTCCAAAATTTAATAGATATTTAATTGAGTGGGCGGATGTGAGGCGGGTGGATGCGGGGCGGGTAATGTCTCAAACCCATTACCCGCCAACCACCCACGACGGGTACCACTTTATAAATCCACACCCGCCACTACCCGCTAAAATTATACCCATCTCCGTTCCAATTAAAACGAATACGGTACAGAATTCACGAAACTGTACCCGTTTACCATCCCTAATTAAAGTTCATGTGCTGAGTATATGTATCAGAATTGTATGACCACAAACCAGTAATAGATAAGACAAAAATGTACGATTGCTGTAGTGGCTGCACCAAAAATGGCAATCTAGGAAAGGACTGAAATTTGACCAATGAATGTGGCAATGGCTTCAAACACCAACACGCCATACTAGGGATGGCAATAGGTCGGGTCGGGTCGGGTTTTTGGGCCACCCGACCCGATCCGAGAAGAAAGGGTTCTTCACCCGTGACCCGATTTGACTCGAAAAAATTAATATTTCACCCGATCCGACCCGACCCGAATATATGACTTAGAAACCCGACCCGATCCGACCCGAAATAATAATAAAAAAATTTAATTCAATGAAAACAGTGACTTAATTGAAAAAAATTATATATGGAGGGATATTATTGTAATTATCCCTAAATATAAGATAAAATTATATATTTTCGGGTCGGGTCGGGTCGGATTTTTTACCCTAAACCGACCCGACCCGACCCGAACAGTGCATTTAAAAAAAACCCGACCCAACCCGACCCGAACCCAATTTTTTTTTAAAAAAATCCGACCCGATCAAATCAAATCAAGTCGGAACCCGTCGGATTCAGGTTGAGTTGCCATCCTACGCCATACACATATAAATGCTGCTCAAGAAAGAGAGAAGATGAAACCCCAGGTTTTACAGAGTAATATTATTACCTCAAGTGAAAAGTCTTTTCAACTTTTTTTTTTACCTCTGAACATGAATTCCATGCTTTGAATATTCTCCTGTCAAAACCATGGGAGGGACCAATAATGGCAAACCAACCACAGTTGAGCAAAATAGCATTTCCATATAAAGTTAAAACAACATCAAAGCATTAAATGAACATCAACATCAAAAAAGATACACACTTTTTTGAAAACTGGAAAATAATACCTGTGTTGTTTCAGGGTTTATGGTAAAGATAACTTCTTGCGAGTTACCAGAAAAGCATCCATTATTAGGGCACGATCACCATCATCACACCAATCCACTGAAGTTTGGGGAAGTTTGTGCATCAGCT